GGCAAGCGAGCCTATACCACTTGCCAAGTTCATGTAGGATCGAAACTGCTCATGGAGTTGCTTGGAAAGGGCATTTTGGGGTAAAATAGATTGAACACGTCTGTACCACTTCCTTCAAACAAAATAAACCCGTATTAAAGTTTTGTTGGGCCATGGAAATGTTTGCCCAAAAAATCAAATTCCTGACGACTTAATCCACGCTAATAATGTACCAAAAAGGGCCGATCATTACATTGTCGCGGACAGCAAAATGGCGACGGGTTTGCATAGCGAGTGGCATTTCAATTCCACACATCTTTGTACATACAGAACGGAACGGAACGATTTTTGGACTGATATTCCTGTTAGAGTTACATCTTTCACAAAGTTCCTTTTTATATGGAAGGATATCGCTGCCAATATTAAATGCTCTGCGACAATGATAAAGTCAAAATACCTCTTAGGCAAGAGTTAAATGTAAAACGTCAAAAATGTTAAGTGTTAAATGACAAATGTTTTGTGGGAAAATGCTTTTTTTGACGTGTCTACATTTTACATTTCTCTCATTACATTTTACATTTGCGCTCTGCCATATTCCATTTGTCCTTCACGTTTTCTACATAGCAACTTTCGCACAGCATCAACTTTCATATGCAAATGTTGGATATCACGTGACTTATTAACATATACGGAAACCCGGCACACTATAAACCAGCACACTATAAGGATATTCACCGCACGATAACAGTAAATCAAGCTGGCACACTATAAGAAACTATCTAGACGACCGTGCGTAATCATGAATGTGCCAGGAAATAATTGATAGATTCAAACAGCTAAAGAAACATAATTTCCAGTAATTTATAACACAATAACTGGAATTTCGTATTAATACCCGTATTTTGATATTTTAAATTAACTAATTAACTTTGATTCATTAAAAAACAACAATATATAAGCATTGTGCCCAACAAATAAATAATATATTTAAAGAGAGAAATGACTATACATTTTTTAGTATGGACATAAGAGAATTTTTGATTAAGCCCCGTATCTTTATTTTAGTTTAGTCCCCCCCCACCCTTCCTTTACTTCAACTTTAACTTGAATCTTATTTTGTAAAGTTAAGCAAATATGAATGTGCCAAAAAATTATTTGTATATATTTGAAAAGAGCAATGAGTGATACGTAACATGGTATCTGGAATTTCGTATTTAGACCAGTATTTTTACTTGAATACCCCTTTAATAGTGTGATATTTATTGGATTTGAATTATGAAAATACGATTGTACCAAAAAACTATTTACATATTTACAAACAGAAATGAACGCGCTTTTCACTAATATGTAACATGATGCCTGGAATTTCGTATTAGGACTTTGCAGAGCCCCCCCCCCCCCGTAATCATGGTAAAGTACCATCCAAAATGTCAAGGTAAGTAAATTGTTATTGTGTGCTAGGCTGATTTACTGTTATAGTGTCATGAATTTCCTTGTTCCGACTTATTGTGTGCCAGGTTTCCGTATATGTTAATAAGTCACGTGATATCCTACATTTGCATATGAAAGTTGATGCTGTGCGAAACATGCTATTTTGAATGCGTGAAGGACAAATGGGATGTGACAGAGGGCAAATGTAAAATGTAATGAGAGAAATGTAAAATGTGCTCGTCAAAAAAAGCATTTTGACACAAAACATTTGTCATTTAACACTTAACATTTGACGTTTTACATTTAACTCTTGCCTTAGAGGTATTTTGACTTTATCATTACCGGTATTAGGACTTTGTACATTGTACTTTTTACATATAATCAATGGAAAAGACATTGTAGCAGAGCATTTAATATTGGCAGCGATACCCTTCCATATTTTTATGATCTAAGGTACAAGTTATATATGAGATGAATGGCTCTATAGCGCTTTACCCGAATGTATTAATGAACATTTACCGTTCGCTTGAAATTTGTTTTTACTATATTAGGAATATATATATCGCTTATCACTCGCAATTACGGGTGGGTCCATACGTTCGTCTCTGCTCCTCTAATGTGTCATGGTTTTATTTACCTTCGTATTGCTGATTGTGCATCATTTTATTTAATCAAGAGCATTGTCACGACATGCGGAAATTAAGTTCGTAATTAAATATATACATGCATAATATATGTAGTGGTGAACGTGTGTATATGTATACAGTGGACAGTATAGCATATGTCGCAGTTCAATAAAGTGGGGTTCAATGGGTTCGCACATGTGAGGTTCAAATTGGTTCGATGCATCTAAATAAATATTTTACATGTATAAAATATAGTCTTAATATGATACAAGTTATAGATCACTTTGTCACACTCACCCCACTCATATACTATTGTTCTCCTCGGAATTAGGTCATTGTAATTTTCAGGGGATGCGAAGAGTAATTTTGTTTATTTTGAAACACCAAAAATTCCAATCGAAGGTCGATGAGCCACTAACCAGAAAGTGGCCCTTGGATCCCTAACTCCTCCGAAGCCCAGTGCGTCCCTGATCACGGACTGCAAGAATCGTCTACATACACCACTACTGTCATCTTAAATGCATTATAGGGTAATATGCGTCTTATTAAATGGTCGTGGTTTGTGTTCTTGTCATAATATACTTGACAATGTTTTTTTTTAATGGCATCGGTAACAATTTTCTTACTCATCCAGTATACTCTTCACATATCTATGCACTATTTTAGTATCACTAATCGTATCATTCTTGATTATCTGTCTCATAAAAATGCTAAAACTAAAATAAAATATCACATTTTCGTGCCACAGCCATCTCAATTTACCAATTTAAATAACATTCCCAGTTTCCTTCGTCTCGGAGAGGTTTCTCTTTGCCAGTGGTGCAGGATGGTGGGTTCGGCTAGGATAGTGTCTATTCGTTCGGATGGGACGAAAACCAAGGTCACGTCAACACAATTGGTGTGCAGGTAACAACTGCCTTAGCATTTAGAATTGGAAATAAGAGTAGGTCTAGGCGGTAGCGCCGCCGCCCGGGTAAAAGTTCCCTCAAAGCACACGACATGGTGTAAGCCCGTCTTCATTAGCACAGTCGGTGCAGAAAATTAGGACGTTAAACATAATCGCATTCATTTATTCGTTCGTCGCTATCTTGAAACACCTTCTATCTATAGGCTTTTGGGAGAACTGTTCCACAGTGGACCAGCACAATCCTCTTAGACTATTGACATTTGCCCTTTAAAAGAACGATACCTATTACATATTTTGTTAAATTTGTCTATGAATTCGCCCTTGATTCTGGTTTTTATTGTAATGTCTGTCGCTCCGGAGAGAGTCAGAAGTAGATTTGAGAGATTTTGCATAAAGGTCACCCTAGCTAATACAAGGCAAGTGTGATTTGTATATAATATGTATTAGTAAATTAGCTTAGTTAAGGAGAATACTAAAGTTTGAATTCAGAAAAAAAGTATCATTAAAATATATTATTCAGCTGGAAATATGTCTTGATAATTGAAGCCGCTTCCTCTTCCTTTCTTTGTGGCGTACCTGGTACTACAGCCAGGGGGATCTGAGCAAGGCCACGGCTCATTAACCAGCATGGCCTAGGGTTCGATTCAGGTGTTGGCCGAGAATATTTCCCGGAATCTCCCAGCGTGGTCTCCTCTTGTTAGTAGTGTAGGGCAAAACACCCAGCTCACATATACAGATTGGCATGCAAATGCATAAAAGAATTGTTGACAGCTGTATTTCGAAATAAAAGTAGGGAAACATGTCCCTCATAGCATATTGCATGGCGTATGCCCGTCTTTATTAGCTCAGTTGTTCCATTTCATCTAACAGAATGTTATATGACTCTATGAGCAGTTCAGAATACAGAATCACGCTACGTCCAAATAGCGGGTATATATTTCCGCGCAATAGTTTCGTATGTGTGTCCCGACCTAGCCTATGATTCGAGTAAGTAATTATATTCCGATACATGTATATACGTTCTAATGAATGATTATTGTTTAGAATATACTTTGTATATAAATACTGTATAAGGAGATTTTAAACCCCGTTATTCCTATTTTTTTTCTATTATCGGTTTATTAGAGAATAAAATTGATATAAATGATAAGGAAAGGTTAAGTTTATAGCCAAATTATATTAATCTATTGACATTTATTTAATCTCTTCACTTTGGTATTGTCGATCTTATTAGAATACAGATCTATATTTCGTTTCGGTTTTTTTTTATACTTTCGATGGCCTTCACTACATGAAGATCCGATCAGTTGTACTGGAAGGTCGCGTTAGGGGTCGAATGAGTATTTTTTGACTCCATGACGTTAGACTATGATTAATCAATCTGCGTTGGCGTTTCAAGTGGTTTACCCACAGTTTCGTGCATGGCACACCAAGAAGTCGCCGTAACAGATGGTTTAATTGGCTAATCCCTCACGCCATCCAGAACGCCTGTTATATAACAACTCTTCCAGATCCTAGTGTAGTACAGACAAATAAAACGAAATTTTGAACTATGAAGAATGAAACAATCTGTATTTTAATCAGATTGCGGTATTGTATTATTGTCAGATTATACCAGGAAGAATATGTAAATTAATGAAAGGTTAAGTTTAATAGCCAGATTACATAATTGGTTTATGCAAATTGATTTCATCTCAATATTCCAGTATTGGATATTGTCAAATTGTACCAGCAAGACTATGTGAATTAATTCATGTTATGTATTATATACTAATAACATTTTGTCGTACGTTACCTAATATTATTCATAATCCATTGTCATGGAAATCTATTATTCTAAGAATGTATTTATATAATATATGTATTGTATTTTCAATGTATATATTATTAATATCTGAAAACGCCTATAGCGGACAGACAGCTGGCTTGTATGATTTAATGTATGTCAGAATGAAGTAAAGTGGAGGATTTTTTACCTGAACGTATTTTTTTATTTATTTATGCATTTATCTACCGTAAACAAAGAAGTATTTGTATTGTATCTAATATATACATACCTGTTAAAACAATGACCATTCCTATAAAATACACCACACATTTCTCTACAATATCCCAAATCTTCATCCTGATAAAATGATATCTTAATTGTACAATATCTTGAATTATTATTTACCTCTCAGTATATTAATCACCCTTTGTTTATATTAATTCACTTCATCTAATATCTGTAGCTCTCGTTATTTAGTTAAATCATGTATCTGTCAAAGCTGTTCAATTATAATTTTATATCACTGGTTTTTTTAACACTAGCAAAATGGCTGTATATCTGCATTCACGTCTGAAATGACAACAAAATTTTTAAATAGATGACAGACGTAATACTTTGAGAACAAGTGCGTTTGTTCAAAAAAGTTTGAAAATCAAGAATGTAGTAAATAACTACATCCAGAAACATCTTAATGAAAATAAACGAGGCCATGTTTTGATAGCGATCTATCAAATACGCCCAACGTCCTTGTTTTAGCCTGTGTTATTGTTTTGTATTTACAAACACCACAACAGGTATAAATATAGTTTGCCAGGCAACGCAACATACACTACAAGCACCCAAGTCGTCTGAGCCGGTAACAGGTAAGGGCTTTTTGTACAAGCCAACCCATTCTTCATGAAGGTTTTGGGATAAACATAATAACTAGTCTTTTCATCAAATAATTATAACTTTTGAGATATAATCGAACAATCTGATAGGTTAAGCCTTTAACATCACTGGGTACACTTCTTGTATAAAAGTGCACACGTTATAACAAAACCCATTCATGTAATACAGTAAAAAAAAAATGGGGAAAAAAAACATTATCCATACTACGAGACGAAAACTATTTCTTCCATGAATAACTCTGTAAAGTTAACATGGAGTCTCTAATCCGCGTATAACGCTAAAAGAGAAGCCATTATTTTATAGCAAGTTTGTTAAGCTAAAACGAGTATAAACCCAAAAAAACTGTCATGTATAATGTTGTCTAACAAATCGATTGATGCCACCATTAACGTCTTAATGATGAAACATGAGGTAAAATAAGACAACCAATACAAATTATCGACACAAAAAAACACGCCAGAACACGTCATATAGAAAATGGAATTGGCAATACAATCCTGGATATGTCCATAGGGATATTATTACGATTAATAAACAATTTCTTCTAAAAGTATAATTCCAATCATCTTTTTTTTAATATTTTATTCATTATATAGTATTAGATCCATTACTGTGGGGTACATAGTCTGCGGTGTAAATGTTTTCGCATCTAGATATCAAATTAACATGCAGAATGTGAAATAGTAATAGTAACAGGCAAAATGTACCTTAATGGCAGTAACACAGAGAATGTGACATAATGGCAGCAACACACCGAATGGTGACATAATAACAGTTACAGGCCGAATGTGACATAATTAAAATAACTCACCGAATGTGAGTAATAGTAACAGGCAGAATGTGCCATAATGGCAGTAACACAGAGAATGTGACATAATGGCAGTAACACACCGAATGTGGCATAATAACAGTTACAGGCCGAATGTGACATAATTAAAATAACTCACCGAATGTGGCATAATGGCATTAACACGCCGAATGGCACATAATAATAGTGACACACAGAATGTGACATAATGCCAGAAACACGTCGAATGGGACATAATTCAGGGCCGGTGGAAGTAATTCTTGATTGGGGGGGGGGGGGGGGGGCTTCCATCCTAGATCCTTATAGGCGTGGGTCCAGGGGCCGCAATAACCTGGAGAAAAGAGTACTTGTGGCCAAATTATTGGGGGGGGGGGGGGGGCTAAAGCCCTCCCTAGCCCCCCACTCCGACGGGCCTGTAATTACACTAACACGCCGAATATGACATAATGACAGTAACATGCCGAATGTGTCAGTGTGACAACAACTGTTAACCACTGGGTTCTAGTAAGAATAATAAATACTTTCTTTTTACAAGAATTCTGTGGTCGCTGCGTTTTATTTTTTATATCATACGCAGTTATCTAGTGTTAACGGAGCCGTCCCAGATATACTTGAAATGGAATGAAATGCGTAAATCGTGCATGGAAAATTCCAAGACACCGTTATCGTTGCCGTTTACAACTCTGTCATTCCAGTTTCTTTATGCGGATGGCGAAAAGTTCCCCAAACCCATGCTATTTTCAGGCGCCTACATATTTGCCTATGAGATAGTGGTATGGAGTTTATTCGTGAATAAGTAATAATAGTTATATTTTCTTTTTTTTAACAAGTCGGCCCATTTTTAATCTCTGATATGCAGAACTCTATAGTTACCACAGTTTTTACATTTAAATAATACATATTTTTTTATTATAACATGTTCCCGAAGCAACGACCATGAGTGTTACAACATCTAGCCGTTGCTAGATTAGTCAGAAATTGCTGAACGTATAGGTACGTTATCTCCTTCTACCACAGACACGTGAACAATAGTGTTGTCCAATCAGAGGACGTGGCACAAACACACTCGAATCAAACATGGCGACCTCCACGAAACCTGAACTTTACAACTCAATTATCACAGGTAGACATTTTAGCTGGAAAGCGCAAGGTTTGATATTCGCGATGGTATTCTCTATCTAAGAACCTGAACGCAATGCAAGTAGTGTAGTTGCACCGTACCCTAGGATTTTAGCCCCCCCCCCCCTCAAAATAATTTTGTTTTTTTCTGGTTTCTTACATAATTTACATATAGTGACAGTATCTACACACTTGCATCTAAAAAAAAAGTAGAGTTTCTAGTCTCATTTCATTTATATGTGATTCAATTTGTTTGAGGATTTATGGCGTTACATATATATATATATATAGATTATTTATCCATAAAGTTCTCTACGTTACATTAAACACCATACTTTTACGAATATTATATTTTTGTTTTAATGAGTTTGAAAGTAATAGCTAAATACAAAAATAGACGGGTTTCCCAGGAGATATTACACACTTGGTCTCATCAATGTTAAATTACGCTCTGACCATATTGAACTACACGAAAACAAAACTGTTATGTTCAAGACGCGAATATTTGGAGTTATTTTTACTTACAACTGATTGAACACTTATTAAACTACGGATAATTTCTCATTACCATTCTATTCACCTACACCCATAACATAAACAAATATTGGTATGAATATTATAATCAACTGAATGCTTATCGAGATTTTTAATTTCTTGAAGAATACGCTTCTTGAACGAGTGAATGTTTTTAAAAAATTATAATAACAAAAAGTTGATGCCAATGTTGCTATTATTTTTATCCATATTTGTTTTGATGATTTTGAGTGAGTCATCATATTATTTTTGATGATCGAGTTAAAATAGTAAGTTATCATATTTGTTTTGATGAGTAAGAATAACAATAGTGAGTCATCATATTATTATTTTTGATGATTTCGAATAGTTATCATATTTGTTTTGATGAGTTAGAATAACAAGAGTAAGTTATCATTTGTTTTGACAATATTTTAACTACGTGAGCAGTCCAACGTTCGACCTTTGAGCTTGACATTTTCGAAACTTACATATATTCTTCAATATCAGAACGTTTTGGTGATTTAGAACAACAATAGTTGAAGGCAATGTTGTTGTCCATATTTCGTTAACAACATGAGCAGTCAAACGTTCGACTTTTGCGCTTAACTTTTTCGAAACGTATTTCCATTTATCAGAATTTAGAATGACAATAGTTGTCCATATATGTTTTTATCTACTTGAGCAGTTAACCGTTCGACCTTTGCGCTTGACATTTTCGAAACTGAAATCCATTTATCAATATCACGAACAAGAATAAATATATAATAGACTTACCTATTGCTGAAATGGGCTATACAGTACATCCAATTATAATACTCCACTATGAAACTAAACCTGTTGTGAGATTGAAACTGACTTAAGAACTCATATCATAACGACCATCTCTCTTGGCCAAGATGAAAACTTGGAGAGATAGTCCATCGCCTACAGGATACTACGCGCTTTCGAGTTATTATCAGTTCACTCTAGGCTATACATAACACACAAGTCACACTATTTGTGTATGATTCAAAACCTATTATCAAATACGCCTGAGATCCCTTGCTTTCAGATTCATTCTATAACATCTCTCATATATTTATAGAACATACATTTAATTGTTAGGATCTTATAGGTGTTTTTTCTTATCGAGTATGAAATCGTTGATAATTTGCATTAAAGTGGACGGCAGCTGTACAATGTTTATATATTATAGACCAATGTAATGTCAATCGATACAGGGTATGGTTGTGTATCGGAGTACATTGATTTAGTGAAGTGTAGCATATGGCTTATTAAAATACGGATTAGTTTTCTATGTGTAATATTAATATGAGAGAGGGTGAGGGGGGGGGGTTCAATAATCCGCTTGAGCTGCTTGTTGGTCCACTGACTCGGCCACCTAAAGACACAGCGTACTGGATTCGTTTTTTCTCTGTCAAACCACAGGACGATGATATGTGGTTTTGGTGAGTTAAAATGCTAGGTTCATATGCAAGCTACACTTTAATGACTAAACTATAAGTCCACTTAAAAAGAAGTTTGACAAATACCACCGCTGTGCAAACTGCTGTGGGGACAAAAAAATAAATACTATGAGCTACCGTATGCATAACAATTACCGGCGGAAACTAGCATTTGCATGTATTTTTCATAATCTTTTTCAACTGAAGGCCATTCTCACGAAAGCATTTCTAACTATCAGCAAGACTTTACCATGTAATTAATCTTTTGTTAGGCTTTCCGATCACACGTTGACATTAATCAATTCCTTGGTGGTGGGTGTCCGACGTGCTGTGGAAGAGTATCCAATACTACCGAGAACGCCAGTGTTAGTACTGCACTGATCTCTATTTTTGTGGTGCGGCTGTCCGATATGCGCGTTGGAGAGTTAGCATGACCAATGTTTATCATTGAAGTCATCTCCACAACCGAACTTAAACCATAATTACTGAAAGGTAGTCTACTCAGTCCAAAAGATGTTCTAGACTGTATTGTAACTTGGGGAACAATTAAAAGAATAATCACAAAAAGCTTTTATCATGCTGAAAATTATGGAATAATAAAAGAAAACAAGTGCCAAGGTAATCTACCCCACTAATCTGCCCACACTGCAATATTCTGGACTGAATTATTGTAAACGATATTATTTGCGTGATTGCTTGAAATTATTTTCACAATAACGGTAACTATAAACCGAGTAACGCAACCGTAAATATATTCAACTTCGATTTATATTATCGTATCACGCTATATTTGAAACCCAAACTGAACCGGAGAAAAATTGTTTAAGAACCTGGCGTATGTTATCTGGGAAGTATATAAAAGTACTACTACACTACTGCCACTACTACTACTTTTTAAGGGATACCTTCCGCTTCCATCAAGGATTTATCGAAGTCAAGTGTGTAGAAACCAAGCCTAAACTCGGGAGGTTACAATGTAATAATAGGAGAAAATATCCAAAAGCAAAATATGTGACGAGTCCCAGAAGGTCTTAAACTATCTTGAGGTTGTCAACAGGCTTTGCTAATGGTATGTTCTAACCATATTGCGATCTTGTTAAATATGCAGTTACATGACAGAAGCTCAATAAAATCATTTATTTGTGAACGCATGCAAAAATAATGAGTTTAAAGTATTATTAGAACTGAAAACAAAAACGTATTAGATAATGTCAAATCAATTATATTTCACAAGCTTACTATGACGTGAAATCCGTAGAAAGTAAGTTTTATGGTTAGAGCTGGTCGATCTGATCATTTTGAACCATTTTGTTTTTCGATAAAAGTGGACTTTTGATTTGCTTTAAACTCTGTGTGTTCAACATATGCCAATATTCGTGATCGGGGTTCATCATCCATCAATAATATCCATCGCATATTACACAGTAATTACATATTCTATTCTGTTTTCGGTTCAGATCAAGTTTAATTAAGATTGACTATAATTTTGAAGATTTGATTTTTTCTAAAATGTGTTCTTTTTGATCAATCTTGGATTTACAAGTGATTTTGTAAGTATAGCAGAACTGTTATGGAAGAGAATCTATTTATAGATGACAAATTTGTAACTATTTTTGATGGATTGTATTATGGCATGTCAATTAAAGCACGTGTTCATAAATTAGTTTCGATTGGCAGCATTTTCTTTATCTCGTTGTATCACGAGAAGCGACCTGATATGCAAATATAAAAATAACATGATATAATTACATCTATTATGGTTTTTCAAAGACATACTACACAATAATAATAAAACCAAAGAAGGGATTAACTTCCACATGGACCATAGTGATAATGCAGTACATTGACATGACATCGATATATTGTCCCTTTAGTCAAGAATGGTCTTCTTCGTGGCAAGAAAGTGCTAATGTCTAACTTAAAGATATGCTTAATTATGATCAAGATTTGTCTGTCACAATATTGGGGTTCAATTCTGTGTGTGGAGTAAATTACAATTTACCCGCGCTTTCATAAAAATTCCAGTCACTGTGCACTTGCAAGATTGATGTTTAAAAATACCAAGCCTCTACTCGTCTGTAGAGTCCTTTTATAGTTTTCTTTCTGGTGGTTCCAATGGGGTCAATATTCTGTCCGATGGTTATGTAGGTTGTTTATGTGCTATATAGCAAATACAAAATGGCAATTCGCCCATTAAAACGATCTCAACACCCAATGATCCACTTTTAAAACCCATATAAATTCTATTGACGACTATAGATTAAAACAACCCAACCATATTGATATGTTATAAAAAATCATAAGACCTCGTGAAGTTGTTATATGTGAATTCACAGGTGATAAACTCAAATATTATCAATAATCTTCGACATTAAAAACACGAATTACAACTTAATACCAGCTTACAACTTAATTTGGCTCATTCCAATAAAAATTGATGTTTTTATCTTACCGTGAAAATGTGGTCTCCTGATATCCAATATTTAATGCATTTGCACATACTAAAATCTGTTCCCAGTGTCAGGTTTTCCAAGGTCTCGAGCGTTATTTGTAACGAGACAGTTTCATGACCAAATTACAAAGCAAAATATATCCGTTAAATGTGGCACAGTCTAAAGTCAAATTATGAAGTAATATATTATACAGAGGTAATGAATTCTAGTCAATTTATGACCCCAATACTATGTCGGTCGTCAATTATTTTATATTGACTCCCAAGCCTCTGTAGCAATATAACGATAAAAGCCTGTGTTATATGGAGCAGAACTTTGTGTGAACTATATGTAAGATCAGATAACATAATGGATAGGACCATACAACCTATAGTTTTGAGTTATGCGGATATTATCTCCAACTCCTGTTTGGTCTATTATTTGTAAATTTTATTTGTGAAACATAGGCACGATCATTGAATTCTAAACTTAAGTTAAAGGTAATTGTCACCCTAACCAAGGAAAAATCGCCATTAATATTGGGCAATGTTATGTTAAAAATAACCACGTACTCACCTTATTATTGACACTCCAAACACCGACTTGTAAATTTAGAGTAAGATAATACAACTACACATGCGTAGGGCTTGTAAATTGACAGTTAAAACGTCTATATCTTATCAGCTACAATTGGTAGATCCATTGAGACATACCACCAACCTCCACCCCATCCCCCTCCGATATTACGGAAAAGCTGTTTGTGTGTCAGTATTCCCATAACTATATCACAATGATCGTGCATTTTAGTTAATTAACTCCCTTTAAAGTTTTACGTTTCGTAGAATTCTAGTTCCGGTAAGATGCTGAGAAATCGTGCCTAGTGAAAAACAAACAAACATAAACATCGAGAAACACAGTTAAATATGTTTTGAAAGCCAAGATCCAGTGTGTATTATGCAAATAATATTTGCAATATTGGTTCTAGTAAGGACAAAACCTCGCCATGTACCCCACCCAATCACCCTCGATAGTTGATAAGAGTATTAAAGATTCATTATGTAAGATTTACAAAAAGAGCTGTCCATTCTTGCTATAATAGCTCAAAAATAGATGATATGAAATGAAAATATTGAAAATCGCGTTTTTAGATTGTGGACCCTATAGAGGTCATAATTTTTATCCGATTTAAAAAACCGTATTTTTATATCACCGTTACACCACACGGACGACTGAGTTCGAATTTCGTGAAAATCGGACCAAAACTGACAGACAAAATGTCCGCCCTTCGTTCTCAAATAGTCTAAAAATATAGTATATCAAGGTTGTGGACCCTATAGATGTCACAATTTTAATCCGATTTTGTTCAAACTTGAAATGTAAGTTTATAACCCAAAGATCTCGGTTCCTTTCGATATTGGTGCATATCAGACCGTAACTTCCTGAATTATGGCCCCTGATTGTACGAAAAATCGCGTTTTTAGCTTGTTCTCTATCCATCTCTCGAAAATGTGGGCGTATCCTGCCTGAGAGCCGCTGGTAGAATATTAATATCTGCAGACGCCAGTCTATAGCTACATCTTGTTAAAATAAATTTTTAAATGGCGAACCGTTCTAATCTAGTTAAAATCACGAATATTCGATGCCACCGAGAGTTGATTATGGTCTTGTTTTGTAACTAAATGTTTAATTAATAGTTTATATAACATTACAGGCCTAAAGAAAGACCTGCAATAGGCAGATTTAGCTCTTGTATAACATTGGGGCAATCGGCACTGCCTGAATAAAAAAGGAATCATAAAAAACACGAGCTGGGGATGTTTTGAATCAATAGGGGAGAGGTGGTAAGTTGATCCTCGGGATAAGTTGAGTCTCCAACTCTCCACCCTGTATGAATAAAGATGCACTAATGGTGGTGCTATGTATTAAACCAGTGATAGTTATTGGTGTATAGGACAAGTCAATTTCATCAAGAACAATGGAGCTACGTACAAAAATCAAAATTTTTAACCCTAAAGTGGATTTCTTGAAACCAGATTTCTTGTTTTCTATTTCATTAAACGCGTAGACTTCCTTAAAAGACTATTTGGCAAATGATAACCCATATATGGTTGTAATCCTAGCATGTTGCTTTTGCTTGGATTTGATGTGTGACGATGCTGAGACCTACTTAATTGTAACGTTCAGCTCGGGGCAAGTTGTGCAATTTTCAAAGGGGCAAGTTGATCCACGGCAGAACTTATCCTGTTGATGCTATAAATATTTAAACCCATTTGTAGGC